TCTCGACGTCCACGACATCATACAACTACTCTCCACGTCCACGACAAGATACAACTACACTCGACGTCCACGACATCATACAACTACACTCGACGTCCACGACATCATACAACTACACACGACGTCCACGACAAGATACAACTAAACTCGATCCCACGACAATTTGCAACTACACTCGACGGCCACGGCAATATACAATATACAAATACTCTCGACGTCGACGTCGACCTATATTCGCTGTGAAATATGCCCCATACAGTCTCTATATTCTGACATATATGATATATAGGATATCAACGATATATTATGTTATGCACTCTGCTGAGGATATCAACGATATATTATGTTATGCACTCTGCTGAGGATATCAACTATATATTATGTTATGCACTCTGCTGAGGATATCAACTATATATTATGTTATGCACTCTGCTGAGGATATCAACGATATATTATGTTATGCACTCTGCTGAGGATATCAACTATATATTATGTTATGCACTCTGCTTGAAAACATAGGTAATGTATAGGCAAACCTCATGTTACTAATTTGGGTTCTATGTGTACAAGATTACAATTAATATTTACAATACTAATAACTATTATTGATTTACATTAATCTTTATCAGTGTATTTAAAACAACATTAAGTTGTAACAAACGTCACATGTAAAGACATTAATATAACTAAAATAACTGCCGAAATACATTAGTCTATTTAATTCTGTTTATCTGAGCATTAATTTTCATTTTCGTTTAATGGTGGTTAGGCGACATGTGGTTTAGCGTCGCGTTCAAGTGAGTGAGTGAGTGAGTTGGGTTTAACGCCCCTTTTAACAGTATTCCAGTTATATCGCGGCGTGTCAGCTTAATGTGGGAGGAAAGCCCGAAGTGATGCAGGTCTCAGACGTTTTCTACTTCGGTGAAACCCACTGGCACGGGTATGGTGCTGACAAACCTAAAAAATATAATCGGGGCGAACCGGCATTCGAACCCACAATAATAAATTGGGTTTCTGGCGTGCCGAACGGACGCAGCTCTGGAAAGCGAATTGTGGCGCCTTAGACGACTGGGCCACCCGTGCCCCCTCAGCAAGGCCGAAATAGAGACAGATAGAGTGAGTGATCGAGTGAGTGAGTGAGTGAGTGGGTGGGTAGGTGGGTGGGTGGGTGGGTGAGTGAGTGAGTGAGTGAGTGAGCGAGAGGGTGGGTTGGTGAGTGAGTGAGTGAGTGAGCGAGAGGGTGGGTTGGTGAGTGAGTGAGTGAGTGAGTGAGAGGGTGGGTTGGTGAGTGAGTGAGTGAGTGAGTGGCGGAGTGTTACCATTACGAAGATGAAGGGTTAAATTAGGAGCAAATTCCAACCAAAGATCAGCGTATCCTGGCATACCTAAGGGACACAACACAACACAGAGTTTGACCGCTGAGCCGCAACAAATAACCATATTATGATTCGTGACCGTGTAAGTCGGGACAATACTGCTGGAACACAAAGAAGAAGGAAGAGAAGTTTATTCTCATGAATCACAAATAGATACATGGAGCTGATGTTTGATGAGATATTTACAAAATACATGATTAAAAATCAAAGTAATATATACTCACCGCCAAAAGAAACGCGAACCATAGAAACATATAAAGAGAAACGCGAACCATAGAAACATATAGAGAAACGCGAACCATATAGAGAGAAACGCGAACCATGGAAACATATAGAGAGAAACGCGAACCATAGAAACATAGAGAGAAACGCGAACCATAGAAACATAGAGAGAAACGCGAACCATAGAAACATATAGAGAGAAACGCGAACCATAGAAACATAGAGAGAAACGCGAACCATAGAAACATATAGAGAGAAGCGCGAACCATGGAAACATATAGAGAGAAACGCGAACCATGGAAACGTATAGAGAGAAACGCGAACCATAGAAACATAGAGAGAGAAGCGTGAACCATGGAAACATATAGAGAGAAGCGCGAACCATGGAAACATATAGAGAGAAACGCGAACCATGGAAACATAGAGAGAAACGCGAACCATGAAAACATATAGAGAGAAGCGCGAACCATGGAAACATATAGAGAGAAACGCGAACCATGGAAACATAGAGAGAAACGCGAACCATGGAAACATATAGAGAGAAGCGCGAACCATGGAAACATATAGAGAGAAACGCGAACCATAGAAACATATAGAGAGAAACGCGAACCATAGAAACATATAGAGAGAAGCGCGAACCATTGAAACATATAGAGAGAAACGCGAACCATGGAAACATATAGAGAGAAACGCGAACCATAGAAACATATAGAGAGAAACGCGAACCATAGAAACATAGAGAGAAACGCGAACCATAGAAACATATAGAGAGAAACGCGAACCATGGAAACATAGAGAGAAACGCGAACCATAGAAACATATAGAGAGAAACGCGAACCATAGAAACATATAGAGAGAAACGCGAACCATGGAAACATATAGAGAGAAACGCGAACCATGGAAACATGACAAAGCAAGCAATCAGTCAAGTTTCACCACAGTGTCTTTATTCTTATCACGATATGCTGCTCGTGATTTTCTAACTTTACACGCTAATCCTGCACGAGACAAATGGTACATCTCGAGTCATGGGTCTGTGACGTCACATGTGATGGGTTCATGAGTGTCGGTTCACACACACAACATAACAGTATGTTCGTTTGTGCATCGAACCCATCTAATACCTCTTGGATATCGCGTGTCTTTTGTCTGTGAGTATATCAATACATACATGGACACCCCCCCTCCCCCTGACAGACTTAACTATTTTTATCATAAGTGGTTTGTAAGAACATTACTTTAGGAGGATATTTTTTCTTGAGTTGGATATTGGGGTTTCGTAAGTTTGAAAGACTTGCATGCATAGAGAAAATGATACTCGTCGCCCTCATCTAAAGTACATAATGTACACATTCTTTGACCATGGTCAGTTTTATGCCACTTTCCGGGAGTCTTAGGTTAGACAGTCAGAAACGTGCGAACCATGCTCTTAGTTTATGGGACAGAATACATAGATACGATTCTAATAGTGACATTTGTTTGTGCAATTTATAGTACTTGACATATAACGGAGGCGGTCGCTGATCAAATAGCTCAAACTTCTAACATTCTGACCTTACGTAATACTGCATGCAATCTACAAACCATTTCTCCAAACTGTATCGAATTCTTTACTATGATCAAAAAGCACAAAACAATTATTTTTTTTAAATCTTGAAAACTACCAATTAGAGCCAACAAAGTAGATAGTGTCTTGTTTAGAGTGAGACGCACGAAAACCAGCTTGGGCTTCCCTACTAAATGAGTATAATTAAAGACTTTCTACAGATGCTTGGAGACACTTGCAGAAAAGCTTAGCTAAGCAGCTAACAATAGAAATGCCTCGGTTATTGTCAGGATCGGCTTGGCTGCCCTTGTTTTTAAAGATAGCTCTTATATAACCATCAGATCAAGCTTGTGGAAAACCTCCATGATCTTTTAGGTTAAATACATTAACACAAGCCGGCATCATAACATGAATGAAGGCTTTGGTGTAATTGTTACTTGTATTGCTTTAATCACAAGCATGGTTATTTTGTTTTCTTGGACACACGACATAATCTTCTCTTTGGTAACAAGATAACCAAACTCGTCAGCACGATGTTTTGTTTGTTTGTTTGTTGTTCTACGCCGCACTCAGCAATATTCCAGCTATATGACGGCGGTCTGTAAATGATCGAGTCTGGACAAGACAATCCAGTGATTGAGCATCAATCAACGCGGTTGGGATCGATGACCTGCATCAACCAAGTCAGCGAGCCTGATCACCCGATCCCGTTAGTCGCCTTTTACAAGCATAGTCGCATGTGCACCCATCACATCTACGTGTACATTTTCACCAGTGGTATTTCTGTCTAAATTACTAAAATAACTTTTGTTTGTTTGCTTGTTGTTTAACGCCGCACTCAGCACTATTCCAGCTATATGACGGCGGTCTGTCAATAATTGAACCTGGACAAGACAATCCAGTGATTGACATCGTGATCATCGATCCACTCAATTGGGATACGATGACATTTATCAACCAAGTCAGCGAGCCTGACCACCCAGTCCCGTTAGTCGCCTCATACGACAAGCATTGTCGTAAGCATTACAGCAAGCATGGGTTGCTGAAGACCTATTCTACCCCGACTAAATTGACCAAACAAATTGAATGCACCTGTTTCAAAGGGTAGCTTTTACATTCATTATCACCTGATCATTTAATGATGCTCCAGAACTTTTCGGGCACGAGACTTTTGCTTGAAACGTGATCATCAGAGTACGGACACAGTACGCGGACTAATCCTATGGCCGTGGTTCAGTGAATATCGGCTCCCCAACTATATCATAGTGGCCTGTACATAGTCTGGGACATGAAAATCATTGACCTATTATCTAACCAAATAGCCACACAGCTGGGGCATGATGAGCCACAATCGACCAGGTTGCACATTGTGACCACTGGACCTTCATCAGCTTCGGCTTTCGGATACATCCCTCCATCCCAATTGGAGACATGACCTTGAGGACAAAGATACAGAATCAATTGTTTAGCAATGATTTGGAAGTAGCAACGTGAATACCCCTTTCAGAATGCTGATCTCAATTCGGAAAACGAGGCGTGAACAAATCTCTATAGTCAAGTGAATACACATACGATGTGTTGAATACACCATTCCTCTCTGTAGCAACAAATGTATACATGAAAGGCTCCTAAACATTAAATGAACGAAACTCCTGACAATTCCAAAAGGCAGATACATTCTCGTACACACAATATGTAATTAGCAAAGGAAATTAGATTAGAGTCGGTCCCGTGACTGGAGCATTCTGCCATCTTCAGTTCTACAAGCGGCAACCTGAGAAACACAGCTAGGCGGAACAATTGGCGAACAATTACCTAGACTTGATTAAAAATTCATCCGTAAGACGTGATAGAACGATAAACGCTGTAGTCGTGTTGACAGTCGAAGACGATGGCCAGCCTGCCGCCTCCGACCCCTTACAATTACTGCTGCATTACTACAACTGTGAGTACGATCATGCTAGTCGGAAGAGCTTTTTAATATTTAATGTGACAGCGACCGGTGTTTTGTGATTATACTGAGGAGCTGGCTCCATCCCATATGATAACCGGTTGCTAGCAGACACAGTGTGACATCACCGCATCAGAAGTAATCTGCCGCCCGGCCCGCTCCCCGTCCGACTGTCAGCCTGCCTCGGCGACGGAGTTACGCGTACCTGCGGCAGGAGCATGAATCGGCCGGGTGTCCTCGCTACGACCATCCTTCGTTCATTGATGGCCGCAGCTCTCACGTGCTACCTGGGGCAGTTTGTGAATGAACCAACGGTGATATGAGTGAATGGAGTTGGCTGCTGTGCCACAGTTGGGGTAATGGACGAGAAGGCGGCGGCCCGTGGGCCAGGTGAGAGTGACGGGGGGTTAGAGCATGACGCAGTGATCGAGGACACCGGGGGCGGGCTACAGACTACGGAGACTAACACAAAACGAAGGAAGGGAAAATCGAAGGGGCCAGAAGTCGAGTTGATTGATAACACATCGGCAAACCAAAGTTCTAAACAAGAACAATCTTCTGTAAACCTTCCAGGCGTGCTCCCTGGTAGTACATTGAGAAATGTTGTTTACTATCAAAATCGATTCATTGTGTTAGATACAATACCAGCTAAATCTGGCTCGCAGACAACGAACGGAGATGCTACAACAGATGTCCACAAGAGTGTGCTACATACCGGATGCGGTACACTGCGCATGTCTGAGAGAAATGCTAGTGGATCAGGCGAGAAATCGAATGAAAGAACGGCGCGTGCTGCAGGTGGAGCAGACGACAGTTTGTTGGTGCGCGGGAAAAGAGGTAAAATGGAAATGGACGCTTCATCTGTTACCATGGATGCACGTGCAATTGAAATTGTGGTAAGTGATGAATCTGACTCCCATAGGCTGCATTCCTCGACCAGGCACCCTCTATGGAAGCGTATTACCAGCGTCATGCGAGACAACAGGATGAAGGGCAGACGTGACTGTGATGTGGTGTTGAGGGATCATCCAGAGGAGTACATTGTACTTAAACGAGTTTTAAACATTGTGTTCGTTACAATCGGAGTAGCCCTGCTGCTGTCTGTCTTCATTGTCATCATCTACACAACAATAGGTGAGATCATTCTTTTTTGTCTTACAAAAAAAGCTTATTTAAATTAATTAGGGACCGGTCATTTATATCGGGATTGGGGTGTGTGGGGGTGTCAGAGGGTTTTGATGCACTAATGTACAGAAAATATTTTCCCTCCCCTAATGGTTGTGATAATTTGGCTGACCATCACCATGTCCTTGTACATTTTGCCCCTGAAAAATACTTTTTTTCATTACAAACTGTCCCTTTTTCACGACCCTCCCCGAATATGTGTGTTATTTTTTTACCCTCACCTAGAGAATGTCATTTTTGGGGCGACCTTCCCCTGATTCCCACTGACCCCTACCCCTATCCAACCCAATCTATAATAAATGACCAGTTCCTTAGATTGACTCAAATTCTTTTTCAAATTAAATATTTGTCATAATTGTTAAAAATTTATTATAATGTTTTCGTATACACGGTATGTCTATGAAGTGTATTTCATTGAATATTATATAGGCGAAATGAGAACAGCGAAATGTTTTCAGGTGAAATATTAGTACTCCCCAAAAGAGTGAATATCCGTGAGTTCTAAATCTGAGAGGATGGTCGTGCCGATGATGGATGATTACTGACGTGGCTTGGTTACTTTCATATGATAGTTGTTCTTGGACGTGGCAGCCAGACTTGACAGGGAAACTGTTTCACTGCATTCTGTATGGCGCTGTCTGGCGACAGGAGGCACCTAGTCGCTGTGCACCAGTTCGGTATATAGTCCACAGTGTGTGTGTGCTACATGAGATGGATGTGAAGATGTGACCACTTACAGTGTGTTACAACATGGAGGTGGTTTTTAAATGTGGAAAAAGGACATCGTCGCAAATTGCCAGTGAATGTTTTGTTCAATCGATAGTTTGCTTGAGATGTCGATCTGCGGCAGTAGGCGCTCTTTATCAAGGTTTTGGGTTGGAAATTGAGTTTTAGCAAGAACGATTGAATTTCAAGGATCTCATGTGTGCAGTTTACTGCGTATTTGACATTGATTGTCAAGTTAAGCAGGAGTTGCTTGTTCAAGTGGCCGGCGTATTTAGCACATTGAGTATAGTTTGTATCCTGTTTACTTATACACAGATACGATCGGAGCTTAGGAAAGACATCAATCTTAGCTTTGTTCCGTGTTCTGTAGCAATGATTACTTGCTTAAGTCCCTATAGATGGACCAACAGTTGATAGCGGAGTCGGCGTACTGTCTAATTGTCTTAAGTAGAACGTGTCTGGCACAGATAGAGACACCGGACATTGGTCGTCTACCCAGTGGTGGATGTACGTGTCCTGCAAATATTTTATTGAAGGACATTTTAATTTGTTGAACGTGTCCTGCAAATATTTAGATGATTGACGTGGTATTCTATCTTGTCTTGGATGTACGTTTCCTGGACATTTTAGTCTGTCCAGTCACGACGGACCGTGTCCTGCTAAGATTTAGATGATTGACATGGTATTCTATCTAGTCTTGGATGTACGTGTCCTTGACATTTTAGTCTGCCCAGTCACGGCGGACCGTGTCCTGCTAAGATTTAGATGATTGACATGGTATTCTATCTAGTCTTGGATGTACGTGTCCTTGACATTTTAGTCTGCCCAGTCACGGCGGACCGTGTCCTGCTAAGATTTAGATGATTGACATGGTATTCTATCTAGTCTTGGATGTACGTGTCCTGGACATTTTAGTCTGCCCAGTCACGACGGACCGTGTCCTGCTAAGATTTAGATGAATGACATGGTATTCTATCTAGTCTTGGATGTACGTGTCCTGGACATTTTAGTCTGCCCAGTCACGGCGGACCGTGTCCTGCTAAGATTTAGATGATTGACATGGTATTCTATCTAGCCTTGGATGTACGTGTCCTGCAAATATTTAGTTGGACATTTTAGTCTGCGGACCGTGTCCTGCAAAGGCTTAGATGGTTGACATCGTTGACATAGCCTTGGTTGTACAGCAAAGAGTTTAATGAATGACACAGTAGTTACACAGTCTCGGCTGTACCTGACCTGCACACAGTCTTGACAGGCCCCATTATTAGGCTGTACGCGTCCTACACACAGTCTTGACGTGGTATTCTGGACATGCCCCATTATAAGGCTGTACGCGTCCTGCACACCTTCTTGACGTGGTATTCTTGACATGCCCCATTATAAGTCTGTACGCGTCCTGCACACCTTCTTGACATAGTATTCTGGACATGCCCCATTATTAGGCTGTACGTGTCCTGCACACCTTCTTGACGTGGTATTCTGGACATGCCCCATCATTAGGCTGTACCTGTCCTGCACACCTTCTTGACGTGGTATTCTGGACATGCCCATAATTAGGCTGTACGTGTCCTGCACACAGTCTTGACGTGGTATTCTGGACATGCCCCATCATTAGGCTGTACGTGTCCTGCACACCTTCTTGACGTGGTATTCTGGACATGCCCCATCATTAGGCTGTACGTGTCCTGCACACCTTCTTGACGTGGTATTCTGGACATGCCCAATTATTAGGCTGTACTTGTCCTGCACACAGTCTTGACGTGGTATTCTGGACATGCCCCATCATTAGGCTGTACGTGTCCTGCACACAGTCTTGACGTGGTGTTATTATTAGGCTATGTTTCCTGCACAGACATTAATTCTTGACATGTCCATTTACCTAACATCGGACTGTATGTGACCAGTTGTAACATACTTATTTGACATGTATTGTATTTTGGTTTATATATATAGTTGTCAGTCATCATGTATTATTTGATAAGAGTACTTGGAGTTGTGTTTAAGTCATTAAGTAGAGAGGAATGTCCGAGTAACTATCCATTTCTCGGAGAGTTCGAGGATATTCTCCCACACATACCCACTTTGACACTCTGATAAAACATTCTCCTGTGAATAATATATGAAAAATAAACTGGAAGTGTTGGTTACCTGCATTTATACTGTGCGAGTCGCCTTGCATGATTCCATTCCTGAACAAATGGTCAGTTTTAACATTAGAATGACGTCACAAATGATTTTAAATCGGATTCAGGAGGGGCTCCGGAGACTTGTGAATCCTGATGTGTTCCATCGACCTTCTGATTCAGGAGGGGCTCCGGAGACTTGTGAATCCTGATGTGTTCCATCGACCTTCTGATTCAGGAGGGGCTCCGGAGACTTGTGAATCCTGATGTGTTCCGTCTACCTTCTGATTCAGGAAAGGCTCCGGAGACTTGTGAATCCTGATGTGTTCCGTCTACCTTCTGATTCAGGAAGGGCTCCGGAGACTTGTGAATCCTGATGTGTTCCGTCTACCTTCTGATTCAGGAAGGGCTCCGGAGATTTGTGAATCCTGATGTGTTCCGTCTACCTTCTGATTCAGGAAGGGCTCCGGAGATTTGTGAATCCTGATGTGTTCCGTCTACCTTCTGATTCAGGAAGGGCTCCGGAGACTTGTGAATCCTGATGTGTTCCATCGACCTTCTGATTCAGGAGGGGCTCCGGAGACTTGTTAATCCTGATGTGTTCCATCGACCTTCTGATTCAGGAGGGGCTCCGGAGACTTGTGAATCCTGATGTGTTCCGTCTACCTTCTGATTCAGGAAAGGCTCCGGAGACTTGTGAATCCTGATGTGTTCCGTCTACCTTCTGATTCAGGAAGGGCTCCGGAGACTTGTGAATCCTGATGTGTTCCGTCTACCTTCTGATTCAGGAAGGGCTCCGGAGATTTGTGAATCCTGATGTGTTCCGTCTACCTTCTGATTCAGGAAGGGCTCCGGAGATTTGTGAATCCTGATGTGTTCCGTCTACCTTCTGATTCAGGAAGGGCTCCGGAGACTTGTGAATCCTGATGTGTTCCTTCGACCTTCTGATTCAGGAGGGGCTCCGGAGACTTGTGAATCCTGATGTGTTCCGTCTACCTTCTGATTCAGGAAGGGCTCCGGAGACTTGTGAATCAGACCTCATACGATTAGATGATGTGTTAAGTAAGTGAGTGGGTTGGGTTTAACGTCGCTTTTAACAGTATTCCACTTATATCGCGGCGGTGTCAGCTTAATGTGTGAGGAAAGCCCGAAGTGATGCAGGTCTCAGACCTATACCACTTCGGTGAAACCCAGGAGCACGGGTATGGTGAAACCTAGAAACATAATCGGGGCAAACCTGGATTCGAACCCACAATCATAGGTTTCTGGCGTGCTCAAGGGACGCAACTCTGGGCAGCGAACCGCGGCGCCTTGAACGACTGGTCTCCCGTGCCCCCCCCCCCCCCCCCCCCCCCCCCCCCCGATCATTTGAAAGATACGACACTACCAGGATGACACCAGAACCCAGAACCAATGACGAGATTCTCTTCTTTACCAAACATCCTCTACCTAGACCTTCCGCCATGTACCGATACCGGTGAAGTGAAATAGGGTTTAACGCCGCGTCCACCATTATTGCACTTATATAGCGACATGCATGTGTGTGGCAGCTTGTACTAGTCCGGACTAATGTCGATTTTATTGTGCTAGCCCACTGAGATACCATGCCGCAGTTTAACATGAATACCCCACTCAGACACAGTATACTGTCTCCGAGCCGACCAGTCCTGGTTTTAGCCCCCAAAGCCGAGCGCCCTTAATGCCAGGATAACAAGCACCATCTTTTAACGTCATTTGGTATGACGTGGCCGGGGATCGAACCCCGGACCTTCCGCTCTCCGGGCACACCACTAGACCACGGAGGCCGTGGTACCTCTACTGACACCGGTGTTAACATTCTCAGACCAGCGACTTCTATTCTTCTCCATTCTCGTGGGGACTCAAGGGAAGAATACATCTTCGTTGCGACGTGTGTCGCAGGAGTCGACTGATTAGGTTCAGACGGTCGTGTGTTCTGACTAATTGTGTGTAAACCGTACTCCGATATCACGTATTGTCGTGCGTCGGTCGCTGGTTTACCTGACTGAGACTATTTACAGGCAACACTTGATACAGCTGGATGTACTGCTCACTCACGACATATACCCCGTACATTTGAGG